AGAGAGAGAGAGAGAGAGAGAGAGAGAGAGAGAGCTGAAGATAATTTTATTGGACTATCTAAATTATATTGAATACTCAAACAGGTTGCTAAAATGTCAAAGCTTTTCGCAGTATTATTAAATATTATGCTTGAGTATCCCTACATAATTATCTCGATTAGTCGAACATAATTATTTTCATATCTTTATCTAGCTAAATTTTTAGATACTTGAGCAAGATTGTTCTTTCCGTGTGTTAAACTCAAAAACATCTGGGTCTCAGATCTAACACGGGTAGATCAATACGCACAATTTTCACTCGCTTATCAATGGCGTTCTTAGGCTGCGTGATAATGACGCACTTTGAACGATCGCTTTATTGTACGCAACTCGACAACACAATCGTAGAATCACATCGCTCGACCAGTCGCAGATTCACGGCAACTCGAACAACTAGATTTTAATTACAGCGTGGAAGCGACAGTGCGCTGATTTTGTTTAATTGGTGCACATTGTTGCCTAAGTCCCGTCAATTTTTGATAGATCCAATAGATCCGTCTAGATTTTTTTTCTAATCATAAAAATATCTTGTATTTTACCAATCCAAGGAAAATCGCGGTCCATTCAGATATAATCCATAGTACATAGTTTTTTTTTTTAAATCTTTTTACGAGGCGACAATAATTATTATATTTTTCGAGGTGTTGCGAATTGAAATCATTTTCTCACACTTTCCGTAATAAACGCGACAACATTATTGCGTTTACTACAAAAAAGTCGCACTTGCTCACTTTACATCTAGGTAATAGATACAAAATATAATTGCAATTTATAAATGCATGCGACAAACGTACATAAATACTATTTCAACAATATTTACAATTCTGCTTAAATCGCGAAAACATACTATAAAACAAAACGCTTAGAAACGCTGTATAAAATAATATTACCATATATACGATGGCACCGGATCTCGCAGACTTTTCAAAAAGTGCAACTTGCAAAACACGAATAATTTATGCAAGTTAATTTCTCATTGCGCAATATAATATTTTAGCGGTATACACTATTTTAGAAAGATTCTCTGGACTTTATTCGTAACTACCTTTTCATCTACGTACGCTAATTATGCGAGCTAATCACATTTCCGTTCCGTCATATCATACGAGTATCATCTTTTCCGAATTCGACCCGAATGCTCGAAATGATTGCATTTCCTTCGCTCAGAAGTTAATCGCAATCGTCGGAATAGTAAAGAGATATTATTTCTGCGTTTCAGAGCGCTTTATATTAAACATTATTTAACGACGAAACTTTCCGAGCTGAAACTTGCAATTCTGATGACGTAATGCTAAAGATGTAATATCGACGTACACCAGACGTCGCGGTTTTTCAAGTTATACAAAATGCGGTATGACGGATGCGCTTGATATTGGTCCGTCGGCTCTGTTGCCGAACGATCGTAATTCGTTTTTTTTTTTCTTTATTGTAAGTCGAGATCGTGATTCAATCACGATATAAAGTTAATTGAATAATATAATTACTATCATCGCGATTAACTTACATTTAAAAGACTGTATGTTTTATTTTGTCACAATTTACTTGTCGTTCAGTATATTGAGGTATATTTTAACTCTAAGGCTCAGAAGTTATTCACGCAATATTCTAAATATCTACGGTGATCGTTCGTTACGACTTAATAACAGTATAAATTATCATTTGATTTGTTCTGCGAAGCGTCAGGAAAATTTTAGGACGATTACAACGGCAACAGAGCGGAAGGATAGCTTTGCGAAGCTTTTACACGCACCTCTGCGTTGTGCGACGCGATGAGAGAGAGAGAGAAGAGGTCTTTGGCTTGCGCGATGAATATATAATATACATATTTTCCAAGATTCGAAAGAGAGCGAATATATATATATACACACACACACACACACACATATATATATATATATATATATATATATACGCGATGATGTCGGAAATTATTTACACAGAATAGCGTCCTCTTAGGCGAGTAACGTTTTTTTGATTTGCTCCATGGCTCCTCCGCTGCTTAGAATTCGCGTTTTCTCCAGCATCCGAGTTTTCTCGTCTTCCGTGTCTTCCCAAAGATTTGACTACGGCGCACTTTTATCTCGGCTCGTACAATAAAATTACGCGGGCGAATCGAAAAGTAATTCGTTACCGCTATGACGCGAACGAAATCGTACGGTAGTATGTATATCATTATTAATTTCCTTATATCTCAATCACGGGACATGTGTTACTCTAGTCTTATTATCGGCTAACCTATCGTAAGAACTTTACGATACTTAAGTTGAGCTGCTGAATTAACAGTACGATCGTCGTGAATACTTTTTAGAGTCTTTATGATTACACTCGCGTGTCCAGACCGTCGTACACGGCTCGTTGCACTCAAATAATTCGTCAATGCAGGGTACTTTTGCTTTTTTTTTGTGTTTTATACTCGTTATTGCACGTAAAAAATAAATGCAAATAATACTTCCTTAAATCGAAGAACTTTCAAGATGAATTGTCATCTAGAGATTCGATATTCAGTCATTAGAAAAACTATCACGCATTAGAACCGTCACGTACTCTTTTTTTTTTTTCACGTTCGTTCGTTTTCCATCTTTTCGTGTAAAGTGCAGGAATTAGGCAATCGTTCTTCGTTCCTGTCAGTTAAATTATCCTTTCCCCTCTCGTTGAGAAAAAACGAGGGTTTGGCCGTCAGAATCGTCGTAAGGTTCGTGATTGAACGCGAACAAACATGTCGTCGGTAATTAGTGTTAATAATTATTATATCTCATTTTAATCTTAAAACTATACACGAAAAGACACCGATAAAATACAGATAAGAGCACAATTGCATTTAATTATTAAGTAGCCTCTCGATCTTTTAGCGTCGGATCGGGGATCCTGGGGCAGTAACAGAATCAGAGATCCGATAGCAACGGGCATCAATATCATTTAGATCCGCGCGAATATTTTTTATTCTTTTTTCTTTTGTAATCGTTAATTCGCAACTCGCTCAAGCGAGGCTCAACGAGTAAAACGCCATAAAGTCACCGTAATCGCCATCGATTAATCAACTCGACGCGATCACGACAAATGGCGAACTATGGTATATATAACATGAAATAGACACTTAAGATATATCAGGTCACGATAATTTGTCAATAATTAATATCGAACGCTCGTAAGACACTGCGTATAAGACACGCTAACTCTAGGCGATAAATCTAATAAGTAAGACGGAGACGTGCACTTTGAAATAATGTATACGCGCCGCGTATTGGGATGCAAAATGTATCTCGGGAGTAAACAAGATACCTTAAGAATAATTGCAATGTCATCAGAGGACAACATCGTCAATCGCGAAGTTCGGTGAATTGGAGAACGAACTTATGTCTCTAAGGATGAAATCGCGTTCTGTAACGTAGACTTCGGGGATATCGGAACGTAAAGTTTCGCGAGGTGTGACTCGCGGAAAAGTGAGTATCCGGGAAAAGCGCGACCATGGAGAGCGGCCAAATGGCTCAAGTTTGGCTGGCACTCTACGAGCGTGCGTTTGCACGTGATACGAACTGAGCATAACGAGTTCCCAATCCGCGCACTCGAATTTGCTTCACTACTTTTGCTCGGCAACACGTCACCGTTGAAACTTTTACTCAACACAGAGAGAGAGAGAGAAAGACACGATCTATCGCTACTTGTCACATCTTCTAGGTTGCTGGTCTACATTAATCTACGTTAATCTACGAATAACATTGGAGACTGAACTCTAATTTTTAAACAATAACGCCCAATCCCTTTCCTTCACAAATAATTCTTGCGCATTTTTTTTTTTTTTCAATATTACTCACGTATACCGAGACGATGGTACAAACAGTAGAGATTAAATAACTCTAGTAATCGGAAAGGATGAAAGAGTTCTAATTAAGTTCTTGATCGTGCGTCGAGATTTAACCAGAATCCATCACGGATTCTAATAATCTCGAGCAAACGAATCTAATCGTTAGGCCATACGTATATAATATAAATACAGTTACTCGATGCAACGTTAGAGACTAGACGTCGATGCTCGTTTTTCGTCTCGCGACATACATATTTTCGCGTTATCGATTCTATCGAACGAACTGTCGCAATCTTTGCACGCAACATCGTGATTACCGACGCAATATCGTGAAAATCCGTCTGCAGCAGTTGAATACTGTCGTGTGACTGTATAAACGCACTCGTCTTATTAAATCCTTCCGCGTAAGTAAACTTTGTTCTCAAAAGATGCTTTGTGTCTTTGCTTAATTAAGGAAGCGATCGAAGCTTCGTCGCGCAAGGGTCTGGACACGCGAGATCAGTAAAGTGGATTAAAGTGGAAATCGAATTTGTGAATGTTTTGTAAATGTAAAATGCAAGATTTAATATCAACGACAAATTACAAGTAACCTAAAGTCGCATAAGTTTTTACATAGGGTGCATCCACTCTACAGTTTTCCCTGAAACAGACAGTGAGCGCTCCGTACGAATAAGAACATTATTACGAGGTTATTACTTGAGTACGGTGAGAGAGAAACTTTTGGAAGCGATCGTCGCGACAGCAAGCGTAAGCGGTTTAGGTCGGGTCAGGTACTTACTCGTCCTCCCACGGGCATACTTCGTTAACATTATTGTCACGCTTCTCCCGAGGCTCTGCCTGCGCCGCCGCCGGTCGGTCCTCCTGTTGGGCGTCCGGTTCCCAGACAGGCACGACCTGCGCCTCCCCGGGCAGCTCCTCGGTCGTCGCCGGTTCCTCGGCCACCGGCGACACGTCCGCCCCGGTGTCCTCGCCCTTTGTTCTCTCCTCACCGACGATCTCTCCCGCGTCCTTTGCCGTGCAGCTTTCGCTCGCGTCCTCGTCGGCGTTCTCCATCGTGGAATTGTCACTCGGTAGATCGCCTACGATCGCGCTGATGCTGATCAAGGGCGCCTTCGCGCTCGTCCTGGGAACAGGAACGGGATTTCGTTTCTCGATCGTAGCCGAAATATACCGTCCGGGTATATATCTCGTGAGTAACTTACTTAGGACTCGGCTGGCTCTCCTTCACGACGACGGCTTCCGCGACAGTTTCCTCCTCGGGCACGATCTTCTCCAGGGATGATCTCTCTTCGACCTTTTCGACCACCGCGTGGGAGTACTCGAATGACTGTTGGGGCGACGGATAATTACAGGATGACACGGATACACGACCTATCTCGGCCAGCCTGATACGACCGCTCGCTGAGCAGGTAGAATAATTTCGCGTTATCGGGCCTGAAGTCGATGTACCTGAGTGTTTTGAAAACAGAAAAGGAGACGATATTTAAAGATAAACCTTACTTTTCATGCGATGTCTTCTTTCTTATTGAGTGTGTTCAGCAAACACAACGGTTGAATGAGCACTCGCTGCTGTTGGTATATATATATTTTTCTAGAATTTATCTTATGGATTTTAAAGGTCTGTGGTTGGTAATTTGCTTCAAAGACTTTGACATTCGAAGCTTCGAAATTTTGACATTTTAATCTTCGAAATTTCAACGAATGAAAAATTATACAATTATTATTAATTATTATTAATTCGTTACTATTAATTTTATTTATTTAATTGATAATTTTATACAATTATCAATTTAATATAATTAATAGTAACGAATGTAATTTCATAAATAAATTTTTTATATACAAATGGGTTAGAATAATTACGAATATTAATTCTTTTTAATTGCACAAATATATTTTTCGAAATTTCAAAGGCACCTTAAACTTCGAAGATTTGAATTCTTTTAAAGTTTCCAATCTTTGTTAAAAACAACATTCCTCAAATCAACTCGAAACACCGGCAACTACTGGCGATTACCGAGCCGTTATGTTGACTGAACGCATCCAATGAGTCGGTCAGTTGTATACCGACCTATGCTACCGCTATGCTGCAAACTACACGACTTCCGCAACCGTTCGGAGACGTCCGCGATAGCAAGGCTGACGTCCGACGACGAGCTGCACGAGTCCAACTGTGCCGAATTCTTCCGGGAGGCACGCGCCTCGACGGAGTGTGCGGTCGTCCCGTGACCGCCACTGTCCCACACGTGTCGGGCCTGATCAGCTGACACTGTCCTTCCAGAGGACACGGTGTCTCCCGTTGCCCCGTGCTCCGTGCTCGGGCCCGGCACGGCCTCCCACGGGCACACGTCGTCCATAGGGCGAACTGCCACTTCCGTCGCGCCAGCATCCCTGACAACAGGAACTTTATTATATTTAGTTTTCACCGTTTGCTTTCGGCAGAAGGTACCACGCGCTTCGTGTGCGTGTTTCGTGTGTTCTGCGTATATATGTATGTGTCTTTTATCAATGTCAGTCGATTACATGCATGCGACTCCATTCAACGACTAGGGAAAATGTAAGTCTTTATATATACATATAAACGTTACAAGGATCTCCCGGAATTATTCTCGCTTGAAAAGTAGCGGTGCAAAGACAAATAATTCCGGGGCGTCCCGTAGGAAACGTTGGGCGATTTGTTCTGTCATGGGATCGTTTCAATCCTCAGAATCCTTGTCGCGTATTCGAGTAATCGCAGGGTTTTAACATCGGATAAACATTTACACGAAAAGAATGGTTTTGCTGAAGTATCTAAAAATTTAATTAAACGCAGATCTGAAAATAATTTCGTTTTGGATGGCCAAAATAACGTGGGACGCTTACGCTGCAAATTATTAGCATGTTAAAACTGTTTGCAACATTGTAATTAAGCGTTCTACATAATTATTTTGATGGAACGATCAAATTATTTTCAGATCAGTATCTAGCTAAATTTTTAGATTTTTAGACTTCAGCAAAAACATTTTTTTCTATGCATCGAACATCAGAAAACGTAAATCATAAAAAAAATTTTATAACGTGAAAAGAGTTGGTACATACTTTCCTTGCTGTGCAAATAATGTGCTCGACAAGTATCGTACGTACAGGTAATGTGTTACATAAAATATTACAGAGATATATGAGTACAGAGGTATAGTAAGCTTGATACGGACGACACAATATCGACATCAAGACAATTATACAGAGTGTCTCAAAATACAATAACAGGTTAATAAGAACTGTTTTTCCTTTGTTTTTTTTTTTTTTAATTTGTATCAAAAGATTTAGAAGTGTTTTTGAGACATTCCGCGTAGGATAGTATTTGATAGTATTCGGAAACACTGAAATTTATCAAGGAACGGGCACAATATAATTGTCATACAATACTATTATATCAATGGTACACGCTTTACACACATTTTGGTGAGCTTTTCATAAAATGATTTCTTTGAGAGTGCGAGAGTTTTCAAACACACCGAGATAAGAAGGTCTGCCAAAGTCTGATACGAAGGTACAGTGGAGCGCACGGTGCAACGGAGCGCGTTAATAACTCCTACTGCCCTCCCTTCGTGTATCTCGGACCGGGCTCGTTATTGCTCGATCGTTATTTTGAAATACGCGAGAGCTGGCACGCGGCACGGGAACACGAAAGGAACGCGAGTAACAAGTCTCTTCTGTGTAGAGACCTTCCAATAAGAGTCTGGACATGAGAAAGCCACTTTTGATTGATCCGCCATACTTAAACAATTCCTGAGAGAGAGAGAGAAATATATAAGAAAAAGATAAAATAGAATTAGAAAGAGAAAGAAATAGTAAATGTAGGTCTCTCTCTCGAGGATTTTTAAAAAATTACTATTTTACATATAAAACTACGGCTCGTATCTAGACTGTTATTAGAGATAGAGGGCCTCTTATAGTTCTGTGCGTTCCGCGCGCGCCGTCCGCTCCTACACTTAATTGAGAAAACCGTGGTATGTATCGGGGTGACTTACTGAATACTACGTGGACTAGGCCTCGAAGGTATCTTTACGAGTCGTGGTAGATCTCCCCTGAAAATACGACGCGCACGAATATAAGCCTATCATCGGCCACGTCCACCCGATATCGCGCGTATGGATAACATGCTAAAAGCGCAAGAATAGCCGTATCTCGCCGGGCAACGTAGGACAGATATACTCTCTCGGGAACCACTCTCGGGGCCCCCCAACCCCCGCATACCTGTATGGGATGTCGGTGAGATTCGACTGGCTGTGGGAGTGCGGAACACGCGGCGCGGAACTGACGTCACGGACGCCGCACACCGCGAGCTCGTGGGCGCTTCCAGACAGACTCCGGTCGCTTCCTCTTCGTCTGCCGCCACTACCTATGTTAGCGTGCTGCAAAGTGCTAGGCGTTGGTGTCGAAGTGGAGGAAACTTTCTTCTTTGCTTGGCCGCCAAAGACGAAAAATCTGGAAAAACAAACAAGGCCCTTCGATGCGTGTATCTTGCGACTAAGGCCCATTTTACGACTACAATTATTTACAACTATGCTTACGCAATTGTAGAATGGACTTAATACGACGCGTACACGGAAAGATTTTGCTGAATTATTTAAAAGTTTAGCTAGAGATCTGAAAATAATTTTATTCGATCGTAAAAATAATTACGTAGGAACGTCAAGCATGATGAGCGATGCTGTAAAAAGTTTTGACATTCTAGCGATCAATTTGAGCATCCTACAAAATTATTTTGATGGCCCGACGAATTCACTTTTAGATTTGTATTCAGCTAAATTCTTAGACATTTCAGCAAGACTATCTTTTCGTATAATTCGATGAGAGACTCACCTCTTCTTCTGCAGAGGTTGCACGCCGGCAGCTAAGAGATTACGATATTGATCGGAACGAATAAATCTAGGGTAGCAGTCCTTCTTTAGCAGTAGCGTATATACATGCTCCGCGGCGGAATCAAACGTAAACCTGCTCGGATTTTTCATTTCCTGATGAATCCTCTCCATCGTTTTCCCGTCTATATTGATTTCGCACGGAGCTCCAGGTGCCAGGAATTCTCTGCGTGAATTTCCGAAACGTTACGAATAGATTACTTTTTACAGATCGAAATAGCGTAACATACGCGTACCTAAAAATTTCGTTGACTTTGTCAGGTATTTGTGCTTGAAAACTATGCCTGAGATCTTTGACCGCCAGCCAAAATCTTATATTCTCGTGGCTGTACTCCTTTCTTAAATAATTCGTGAATTCTTGTAAACCTGTTGCGGGGCAGAATAGTGCTTGTGAGTTTGCTAGCGGAATCAACTATTATAAGTATGTTCTATTAATGCGATCGAAAAGTTTACCTGTAGGATCAGACATAAGTTCTTCCATCGACAGCGCCCATCGTTTAACGCGTTTTTCTGTAGGAACGTCCACTCTAGACATATAAAGTGTATTATCGAATTTGTCGCGTTCCATAGATGAAGAGAGAGAGAGTATCCGATTTTTCATTACTTACAAGCTACTATTCAGTTGCCAAAACGTATGATCGTCGGTGACCCATGGATTGGAAGGTTGCGGCTGTACGAACATTGGATCGTATTCCACGTACGTTTCGAAGTATGATTTCAAATTTTCGATCGCAGTCGAAACTTTTATCCTCGTGCGTATCAAACTGTTCCGTAGAAGGGCCACCTGTTAAAATTATATATACGGGTATATAAATCGGAGATTTAAAAGAGCGGGAATGCCAATCCCGATATGGATTGGCACTCACCTCACGTTGCAGATCGGTGAGAGTGCGTTTACGTGACGGAGGTCGTGGAAGTCCAGGACGAAAACGAGTGGGTACGGGCACGGCTTCCAGGCTACTGAGACAACCGGGTGGTGGTCGATACACTCTCCAAAATGCTCGTTCCTGCGAATCGCTCACTATCTTGTCGCCTTTCTTGCGCTCCTTAGATAAGCGTACCTGAGCCCACACAATCAGCAGCATTTCAAGGAGTCACATGCTCGAATATGCGGAATTGGTATTTACATGGGACAATACTTGCGGTATACTATTGAAAATTAAGTGCGATAATAACGGATAGTTATTCACCTGTTCTTCCGCTTGTAGTTGTATTATGTCCCACTTGTTCTGCAAGTTCTTACGCAGGCTGTTCAAAGCTTCCTAAAGAGATAGTATAGGTTTTCTTTTACGAAAGAAAGTCTTTAAATAGATTTTTTCGACGCGTTATCGCGTTAATAGCTTGATTTTACGTACGGTCTCATAATCCTCAAGAGCGTGACGTTGTTTGTTCCTCAGAGTTCGTTTAGCCAGATAGATCGCGTACTCCACGTTGTCGGGGGTTCTATGTTGCCACGGCCAATAATAGGGTGTCTACGCGTATCAATTTTTCGTATGAGTATTAAAAAGATTTTGGATAAATTGGAAATTTTACTCTTTCGTTACTTTCGGATATACGACTCACCTGAAACCTATACAGAGAGCTATCGTCCTTAACAGTAAGTGTCTTGGAGTCATTCACCGGGAAGAAGTAGCCATACTGGCATAGTTGATTAGCAATATGGACCGCCTCTACTGTCAAACACAATAATGCATCTTGATATCTGAAGAAACGCTTATATCGACAGAAGTGTCTCTAAGGATCGCTTAGTGTTGCTTAGGGTCGTGCAGATCACTCAAACGATGCCACATTGCTCTGTGTCGTATTTTGGTTGTCTGTTCTTACAGTTTTTCTAGCGGACGTACGTCGAGAAATGCCCACAATAAATTTTAGTTTTTGTTATTTTTAGGAAATTGATTGTGTGTTGCTTTGATGACCTTTCTTCGAAGAGGACACCAGCTCGCTCTCCTTTTCTCTTTTCCTTTCTCCATCTTTCCCCCTCTCTCTCTCTCTCTCTCTCTCTCTCCAAGTGATTAATAACGAATGATTAATTCGATTTTTTTAGTTAATTAAACTATAATATATAAATACCGATCCACCGTATTTTCATAAATACTATCCGCGAACTTCTCAGAGTTACGAAGACATTTATTCTCTAAATGCATTTGACACGAATTACGCTCGCTTCGCGACGGAACGGGAGTGTAATTTACGGTCTTCATTTGCACGAGGCGAGAAAAAAACTGAACGAAATCCAGAAAATCCGCGAGAATATTTACCGTTGCTCAGCTGCAAATTCGCGAGTTCTCCTCGTCATTAATCTCTCATCTTTTCAATAACCCGGAGCGTACATAATTCATATATTCGACTCGAACGAAAAAGAATATTCTGTGTAGTGTAACGTGTTAGTATGTAATCGATACTCTTTAAAGGCACCAAAGCGAAAAATATCGATGCAAATGGATACTGCGAAGCGAAACTATATCGATAGTGTCGTTAGCATCCTCAGGCAGAGCGTTGTGGTTGCGCGTGTTGGGGGGAGGACACCGAGCCGAGCCGAGCCGAGCGAGCGAGCGAGCGAGCGAGGGACAAAATGGCACAGCAGCGGAGAGCAGCCGGCAACGATCAGTAGTAGACATACGAGCCCGTACCTGATTCTTCGATGGCAAGCCGCTCCATCAGCCACTCGATGAGGTCGTAACCTGCAACACGCAGGCAGCCTACTGTAGTGTCCTGGCCGTGATGGCCGCTTACGCTTACTCCACAACGCAGGTACCGATGGCACTCACCCATGAACGCTGAAGGGATCGAGGTGAGAAATTGTTTTTGGCTGCGCACGGGTACCCCGCTCTCAGGGTCTTGCATCTCCCGCACCAGCCCCTCCATCTGCGTCAGAGACCAACGCGAGGAACAATTGTTATTACAGTTCATTAGCGACGTTTAGTCATTAAATGTATATTCAGTAAAAAAAAAGCAGCTTTGCAACTGTTGTAAAATTCTTTAATATGATTGGTTTAATTTGCCCTTAGTTCTTCAATGGATTTAGTTGTATAAATCAATCATTAAAGAATTATACAACAGTTGCAAAGCTGCTTCATCTGTTGAATGCGGCTATTAGGCTTGTAACGCCGCGATTGGGAAATAATTTATTCACGCGGGAAAAGAATGTACCTTGTCGAAGGCGTAAGGCCTGTGAACGCGTGGCTCCTTCTCTTTTTGTTGTTGATTGCTAGAGGCCTCCATCGCGATCGAGGCGGCCCTCTGCGTCGCTGGCAGGAGCGGTGTCGATATCGATGGCGGAGGGGGCTGGGGAGCTGGGCCGGAGACGGGTCTACCCGAACTCCATGGGGCTCTGGCCCCATCCCATCACTCCAGTCACCCCCGCACGCCCACTGAAACATCCCGTAAATTATCCTTTTTACCTTCTTCGTCATCTCGTTTCAAATACAAACGTAACAGAGTATATATAGTCACACAAGTGATTACAAACTAAATTGGTAAAAAAACATTTTTACTCCAGTAACGCGCGTACAAAGATATAACGACGTTAAAGTGAGAAATTCTGCTTTAAAAGTCTTGATTTTTGAGCGAAATTTCCACGCTTTCTACTTTGCGCTTTGAAGAAAAGCTGTACATAATTTAAAACGCTTATGTCTCTATCTTTCCGTTTAATTATTCATGCTTCTCGTTTACACGTATACAAGATTCCCTCGTTTACGCGTACACAATTAAACTGTAAAAAAATTCTACAAATAAAATCGTATATATATTCCAATTAAATTACAGTTTTTGCTGCAAGTTATTGAGAAGTAAGATTCTGCGCGAAAATGTAATGTATTGTCAGATCAAATTGTTTTTATATTATCGAATTTCAATTTCTTCGGTACTTGTATCTACGAATTTGAACCTCGAAATTTTAGGAATATCTACTCGACATTCTAAAATAGCTACTTTTCTCGTACATCTCTATAGTTCGTTCAATTTTTAATGCTTTGTCTTTTGATACACTTCCTCCGACGAGAACGTGCCGCTCTCATTATTTATCAAAGCACATCGGATTAAGAAAAGTGGACAGAAATATCAGACATTTAACTCGTAGAAACAGAAACATTTGTATGTATATTAAGGGACATTTACGTAAGCTATTTTTACAATTGCTATTGATGACTATATATTTGTCGAATGTCGTTGGCATTAATTGATCCAACATCTCCGTACAATTGACTCTCTAACATTTATGGGAAAGTGAACGACTTAGAATTATAATAATATAAGGTTATTTATAAGGTTTGAATTAACAATAAGATAAAAATTTTGAAATTATTATAAACAGAAATCTATTTTTAAAGGGTTCTGAGTGAGAATATTCAATTCTGTAATTCGAAATGTTTACCCTTCATCGGCAATATTGGATTTCAAAGCACAATTGATTTTTTTTAATTCTGGTAGATAAATTTAAATCTGTAAAAAACGTAAAATCCAACTTCTATGATAGTAAAATATGTGATAGTAAAACTTCATTTTTGAAGCTTTCACGAATATAAGATTTTTTTCAGATTTTTATACAGCCCGAAAAAAACAGATAAAAATTTGTACTGAAATTTAAAAACCCAGGTTGCAGAAAGACTGAGGATGAAAACATTGCCAACGAAAGATCAATTAGTTAGATTCGAAAGTTCATAAATCATAATTCCGAATTATTATTCTTTTATCCTTACGTCGGGGAAGCCAGCAGAAATTTAATCGACAGGCTAATTATTGATATAATAATAAATAATAAAGCTTTTGTCGAATATTACGTTTTAACTTCGCGAACATCGATTTATTTCTCACGTTTGCGGCAATCTACATGAGATACGTAAGTAGCACATACATAAAGTCGTTGGATAGATAAAAGCATCTTCGGACAGATCATTTAACTCGAACAAAAGAAAAGCAGGCATTTTACCGAGATCCGTTCTACTTCCGCCTTTCAGGTTCCGCGGTTCCGCATCGTGTTCATGCAACAAACTGCGACAATAATAAACGGCAAACGGCAAAATGCGCCGGTTCGACGCTATAAACGCTTCCCTTCTATGTACGTTGTTTCAGGTTGCGGATGAAGATTTACTTTATTATATCCGCCGTTTTCTCATAGTTTCGAATAAAAATCTTTCCGCAGTGTTTCTCGTAAATCCGGAAAACGTTTCTCGGCTCGACCATCGGGTAATTCATAAGACAAGATATAATCTGGGTTTTATGTGGTCGACTTTTTTCAAACAGGAACGGAACTTCCAGTCGGGAGATTTGCGCGTCAAGATAAGAAAAAGAAGGTCTTCCACGAAAACTTGTAAAGAAAAAAAGAGTCGGGCTATCACGTTCAGCGCTAAAAATACAATACAGGTCGCCCGAAAGTTTTCATGAAGCTTGCGGCAAAACGCGAATGATTCGTGGAAATTCAAAGTTTCACCGTTAAAAACGATGCTATAACGTTATATCGCGTTACCGATGGTATCGCGTTACTTATGATATCGCGTTACCATCCGACTGATCTCCCGAACAAAATGCAAGGTCAACGCAAATCGCCATCAAGGCTGTGACGCGATGGCGATGAAAAAACCCGAGTGCCATCCTGAAAATGGAGATGGCTTTGTGCATGTGTGATCAGGTGTAGTCGGTCGGGCAGTCAGATAAAGCCGCCGTCGATATATCGATGTATCTCGGGTTGATGAACCCGAACCTATTCGACTGGTGATAATGGGGGTAGTGTTCTCGTCTAGCTAAAGAGAAGGCATGTAGGAGAAATATAGGGGGGAAAAGGAAATAGGATACGCACAAGTCATTGAGTCATGCAACACCATGCTGATATTTCAACCGTTGAAATGATTTAAACTCGCGTTTTAAAGTCGCTCCGAGTTCCATTACACTTCTTCTTTAAACACGCCGACTGTCGAATTTTTCGACGAAACAAGTTGTTAAGTTGGTCATTTTACGGCATCTGTTACAAAACTTTCGTCTCGTCTTACTCCCGAGCTTAAAATTGGATTTGTTCTTAAAGGCAGTATCGACAATACTCGAGAAAGTCGCGAGCGAGAGAAATTTGAAAACGCTTTTAGAAAAGTATAATTCGAGGTAGAGAAAGAGATAGAAGAATGGAATAAAACGAGAAGACAGAATTCCGATTGGCAAGCGCTCGATATAGAAAAGAGGGGAATAGCCAGAATATCAAAATGAATCCCCAAATGACCTGGGGACAAGCAGATGCGTGGGCGAAAGCACATTCCTCCCCTGCATCCTCGGCCGAGCCTGCACCCTCTCTTCGCCTGCCAATTTACGTGCTAATCTGAAATCGATAAGTCCTCCGGCATGTCCTGAGACTTTGGGAACGTACGTTTCTACGAATTATTCAGTGCGCAGAGTTATTAATGTCTTGCTCAATTACAGACGAGTTTTCACTGACTACAGGAAATCAATTAAGCACGCGTGGGGAGGCGGCGGTGTCCCTCGTCACGTAATCGTTAACCCTCGGCTACGGGCTGGGATTACAGTACTCATTTTCTCATTTTGTCCGTAAATAATCCGTGTAACGCGTCATTAAGATCTAAGCGGTTGCTCGTGTCCGAATCTGAAATTTTATCCCGTCGTTACTTTGATTCGGGGTTTATTTTATCTGCATTTATATTGCGTTTATTTTAATTTTTGCGTTGCGCTTCCCTTCAAATTCATGGTGTAACTTCGTTATTGAGTCACTGATAACTGATACCAAAACATGAAATCCAATAAGCCGTTTATTAGTTGCCCTATCAGAAAAATAACTCTACCGGACAACGCGTGTAAGGGAGTGCGTATCTCATGAAATCATTGTTTTGATACCAATAGTTTATAAATTAATTGTTTTATTCCACAAAAAACATAATTAGCTGTTTTGCAGAATGAGAGTTTTAATGAGAGAATGTGTAAGTATATGGGTGCGTGCATTTTTTTTTTCAAAGACATATTTAACATACAAGAACTGTAAAGGCTCGAGTGATATACAATCAAATGAATAAAAAGGAAAGCCTACAAGAGCCGACACAGGTTTCTTGTGTGTAAAAAATATAATGTTTGTTAGTAAACATATTTAACATTTGCTACATACTTTTTAAAATGCAGTATATTATCGAATGTCGATGTTTCTTGGCAAAATCACTTTAAATAATTAAATAGCGCTGTATGAAGCGCAATTTGCTTTGCCAAATGTACCCAATATCCTAAATCGAGCTAATGTACATCGTTGAGCATTTTTTAAAATATTTTTTTCACAAAAATCACCATTATAAATGTTGGCGAATACCAATGCTGGCAGTGTACGTGATGTAAATTGACGATATAACATCCATATACGCGATATCACATTGACCAATGTTGTCATACATATATCATGCGTAGAGTTGGCTTTAAATAAACAAGAGAACAATGTGTGACAGATTCTGGTAGTAAATAAAAAGAGGGAATATCCACTTCATTCTATATTTTTAATCGTGATATATTTTGCATATCCGTTGTTCCGTATTTCCACAATCGCCACATTTGCGAGGTGATAAATGTCGCTCTCAGGTTTTATACGGATTATCGTAACATTCGCAACACGTCGTGGAAAGTGCGTGAGGGAAAATCAGGAAAAATAGTGCTTCGGGCCAATTCTAAGAAAAGCTCGAATAAGTAATATCAGTAGGAGAAATCACCGTCTTGGAAGAAGGCCGTCATAAAATTCCGAGGGAAGCGACACTAAGCTCGCCTTTCTATGGGATTAACTCTCGCTGAATTCTCTCTCGACGGGACTCATTTCCCCGAGAAGCTTTGTGCGGCCGATAACGAATTTCCTTGTTTCCTATTCAGACGCGGGACATTCAGCAAACACGAAGAAAGCGTGCGCAGCATTAACCCTTATCAATTGTGAGAAAAGAAGTAAAATTGTCGGCTCTTCCGGATTTCTAGAATTCTGGGCTACTTAAATTTTCCTTGAATTCTTAGATGCTTCGATCGCTATTTCGTAGTATAGTGCGACTTTGAGAGAAGTCGCGTTGGCGAATTGTCGAATTGTTGTTTTCTCAAAACCATTTAGTTTATTGTGTATATAATTCCGAAGCACGCACTGTATGTTGCAAGAGCGTCAGAGCGGCATGACGAACAAAACCAGGTTTACTACGGAAAATAAATTAAAAAATTCCCTCACTTTTCCAGGTTTTCCAGATGAAAATGGAAAACTTTCCAATATAAAATATGTAAATTTTAACACATTTAAAGAGTTGTAGGAAATCTAACCTATGTTATAATATTAAAAACAACGCAAAAAAGGCTTAGTAGCATATTAAAATTTTGGGTGCAAATTTGGCCTAATAAAAAATTAATTAGTATTGGAAAAAAGAATGCC